CTCGATGCATCTTCCGGAACTTCAAATTTCGATGACATTTCCTCAAGATGCATCTCCTCTACTTCTAATAGCGATTGCCTGCTATCTTCTTTTATATCTTCAGATTCTTTTATGGTATCGATCGATTGTATCGTACTTTCCGCCATGTTCCATTCATCTTTAAACTTTGATGGTATTTCTTGTAGCAGTATCTTATTTACTTCTAATGGTTCTTCGTTAAGTGTTTCAATATTTTGTGCTTCGGTTACAAAATCTTGAGATGAATCAGCTACCATGTTTTTCAGAACAGATAATGGCTTTACTGTAGAATCGCATTTTGACCATACTGAACATTGCGACATACTTGAGTTATTTTTTTCAGAACACGATACCTTATCACATTGCTCTTGCTCCTGTGATTCTCCCACACTTTCATCAATATACAGCTTCCCAGAATCAGAATCAGAATCAGAATCAGATGCTCTATCGTATGTTTCTTCGCTAGAATTACTACTTTGTTTGTCCATAGAATCTTCTTGCTGTTCATTTAAATACGTTGATATTGTTTCGGCATGTTTCTCGTGTGTGGTATGTATCTGTGATATTTCCGTAGATTCGGATGTTTTTAATGGAGATGTCGATCGCCATATGTTGTTTAAAGTCGGAGATGAATCACGCGATGTATTCAATGGATCAGCCTGTATCTCTGTGGAATTTAATATTTCAATATTCTCGTTGACATCATCACGCATTCCAGCTTGTAATTTTTCACTAGATATTTCATTACTGGCATTATATACTTCTTTACTTTGATCTTCTGTATTATATGGGGATCGTGATGTCGCATCGTTTCCTCCGCTATTATTTAATATTGCTACGTTAGAAGTTTTATGTATGCTTTCCGTTCCCACATTATTAGATTTTTCGTTTGCATTATATCTCTTCGCAATTTCTGGTTGATCTTCCATTTTCTCAGTTAACGCATCCTGTAATGAATTCAATGAACGTTGTGCAAGAAAGCTTAATTTGGGGAATTGCTTGCCGAATAAACTTGCTGTTTTTAAAGACTCGTTAATTTTTGCGTTATCTTGTGCTTCCGTTTCCGAATTCTTAGCAGACACCTCTGTAATAGAATTCTCTTCTGGTGTCCTTGTATGTCCTGGCCACGATGCTTTCAAAGACTCGTTAATTTTTGCGTTATCTTGCGTTTTTGTTTCCGAATTCTTGGTAAACACTTCTGTGATCATATTCTCTTCTGAACGTCCTAGCGACGTTGCTTTTGAGCTCTCAGACCGTTTTTCCATATTAGCCAATGAGCTTTTTTGGAATTTTTTCATTAGTGTATCATTATTCTGCTCTTGTAGTCTTGTGTCTTTTATAAGTGGTCCCTTAGCTATCGCAAACTCCGGCGTAAAGAATGACTCTTCATTTCGCTCTTCTAAATTATTCTTTATCACCGTTGGTCTCGAATTTTTCGAAATATTCGAATCAATACTTTGGTCCGAAGATTGCTTTTCTAAATTCCTATTACACGCTGAACTATTCTTATTATCTCGATTAGATTGAATCTTCGCTAACTTGTCTACGAATGTTTGCATTGTGTTTTCTTGTAATACTGACCGGTTTTGTAATGTACTGCTTTGTGAATCTTTTTCGACACATTTCTCAGTGGTTTGTGATTTTTCTATCATGTTTTGTAGGTAATTTTTTAAATTCTGAAACAAGTAATACAGTTTTAATCTCTCATAATGTATTTGATTAAATTCTTGCTCATTAAGCGAATATTTCAATTGGTCCGACATGTAGAAATACGAACGTATTTGATCACGCAATATAATTTTCTGAATGTCTGTTAGAACCGCCGGATTAAAATTATAATTAAGATCTTTAATTGAGAACATAGCATCGTTTTTTTGTGCATATCTGCTTCTTGGTAAAATTAATAATGTGTTATCTTTTTCCGAGTATAGTTTAGACATCGTATTTTGCAAAATAGTTGCTCTCTGCGTGGAAGTTCTCGGAGCAGTACCAGATGTATTTTGCGATACGTTACATGCGCTCAAGGCTCCTTGATATAAATCTTGCGGATTCATGGACGTTGCTTTCTTTTGCATGCAATCTTTACTTTGTGACTTGGGAATTTTTATTCCTTTATTCGGCACGTTTTGTGACATACTTTGCGATATTTCGTTAGTCGTTAGATCGATTGTACATATAGATGTATCCTTGGGTAGTATCAAGCGTTGACTTTTTTGCAATTTCTGCTGTACGTTTTGATCTGGCTGAATATTCTGAACGGAATATGTTTGCATATTGCAATGCGCAGATTGAGGTACAAAAGTATGATAAAGCTCGTTTGAATTCAGGTAACGATTGTATTGCGCTTTTTCCAAAGATTGGGCAGGAGGCACGTTTGCATTTCTTTGATTTACTGGTCCACACCAGCGTACGTTAGTATTCGATGATGAAATGTTACTAGTATTTACAAAAACCTGTTGAACATTCGATACACCTGCCGATGACATATAATGGCCTTGAACCGAATGATTCGTATTTCCTAAAGATTGTTGCTGATTAGCATTCGGCATACGTGAGGGTGCCACAGATGGTACGTCACATGTATATTGTTGATGATTATTTGGCCTAGGTTGTCCCGAGTGTGGTACTTGTAGAGAATTAGTCGAATTGCCAAATAATTTCTGCTGGTTGACATTTGAGGTCGTTGGCACCGGACGTGGCATTGTCGAATACTGCATGGATTTGCCACGATTTGGCACTTTTGCATCTGGATATGGAGCACCTCTCGAAAATGGCTGTGCGTTAACACTCGGCATTGATTGTTGCTGATTAGCATTCGGCATACGTGAGGGTACCACAGACGGTACGTGACATGTATATTGTTGATGAATATTTGGCATAGGTTGTCCCGAGTGTGGTACTTGTGGAGAATTAGCCGAATTGCCAAACAATTGCTGCTGATTGACGTTTGAGGTCGTTGGCATCGGACATGGCATTGTCGAATATTGCATGGATTTGCCACGATTTGGCACTTTTGCATCTGGATATGAAGCACCTCTCGAAAATGGCTGTGCGTTAACGCTCGGCATTGATGTATTCGGAACTGATGCGCCAATGTTCGAATGTTGTGATGCGTTAGATTTTGCATTGTTCTGTTGTAAGGTTTGTGTGATATAAATCATATAAGATTGTATGAGATCAGCATAACTGTTAAATTCCATCAGTGTTATTGGTTGATTTATTTGCATATATTGATTGACGAAAGTTATAGCACATTCAACATCGTTCGTGCACAACCATACCATCAACTGTTTCATATCTTGGGCTATTTGCTTTATATACGTACACATTTGTTGTGCGTATTCTGTGAAAGTACTTCTTGTATGCATACTTAGACGCTTGGATCGAATAAATTCGCGACAGTATCCGATGTGGGCGCAGATACGTTTTACCGTAATTTGTATTAAATTTGTGAAATCGTGGTTAATATTTGGAGTATTAATCCCGACCGGTGCAACTGGTGCATTTGCTCTGCGTGAGAGATACGTATGTCTAGGAGCGGTATTATATGATGGCGATTTGAATGTTGATTGAGGTGCTAATTGAGGACGTATTGAATGAGAAGTTAATTGAGAAGGTAATTGAGGATGTGTTAGTTGATATGTTAATATAGAAGATACTAATTGAGACCGTGTTGGTTGAGGGAGTGCTGATTGAAAAGGTACCGATTGAGGAGGTACTAATTGAGAACGTATTGATTCAGATGTTAATTGAGAAGGTACTAATTGAGGACGTGTTGGTTGAGGGAGTGTTGATTGAGCAGGAACTAATTGAGGGTGTGTTGATTGAGGGAGTGTTAAAGGAGGTACTAGTTGAGGTTGAGGTTGAACCTGAGGATGTATCGGTTGAGGACGTGTCGGTTGAGAATGTGCTAATTGAAGAGATGCTGATTGAGGACGTGTTGGTTGAGGTGCTAATTGAAGAGATGTTGTTTGAGGAGGTGCTAATTGAGGGCGTGTTGGTTGAGGAAGTGTTAATTGAGCAGGCACTAATTGAGGACGCGTTGGTTGAGGTGTTAATTGAAGAGGTACTGGTTGACAAGGTGCTAAATCAAGAGGTTCTGACTGACAGAATGTTGAGCATGCTCTGTTTGATGGAGCCGATGCATTGAGACTCGTAGATTTCGCGACGTATGGATAACTAAACTTCTCAATAGATCGTGCTTTGCTGTGTGTCATATCCAAAGAAGTCCTTAGGAACAGTCCTTTTACATTAAGAGTGTCGTATGCAGCTTTAACTGACCCAGAACTGTTTTCAGTCGCCATCTGTGTTTTCTTCCGCTTGATAGACGATATATGTTCGTTCTCTTTTCCTCGACTATGTCCCGTATTTCCAGTTTCCTCTAAAGTAGCATTATTTTGAGAATTTTGTTCTTCATCAGTCTTTTGTTTGTTGTCCGTGGGAGTCTTTTGTAGCTGTGCTCCGAAATCAGACGTATCACACGCAACTTTATTTGATTCAGGACAATTCTCAGTTGTTATTGCATTGATATATTGCATTGATAGACATTCATCCCTTCCTCTTTGATTAAGATCCATCGCGTTTCTACTTTCGTTTAAAATTGGATACTCTTGAAAATTTTGTCGTTGTTGAGAATTATTTACATTATCTTTAGTACTAGTAGTAGTAGTTGTAGTAGTAGTAGTAGTAGTAGTAGTAGTAGTAGTAGTAGTAGTAGTAGGAGTAGTAGTAGTAGTAGTAGTAGTAAGATTAGAATCACATACGAAATCACAACCTTCAGTCTCAACAATAACATTTTCATTATTATCTAACGGTATATTATTTTCTGGGCTTCTACTCGTGCACCTGCGCTTGGACCTTTCAGATGTTTTATGATCCATCTGAAGAAGTTTATCAAGGAGAGACCAAGTTTCTTTTAGAGAGCTTTGTGAAAACTTCCGCGATACCGGAAATTTTAATTTAGATTTTATTTTTATTTCTATTTCCATATCGCTACTGTTATCGTCATCTGCTGAATGACTGTCCGACGCGTGATTATCATCGTAGTAATTTGAATTGCTTGAAGATTTAGACGAATTTGTCGTTCGCGTGGAAAAATATTCGTCCTGTCTTCTTTCCGAAGAATTTCCTCCTGATGTCGATGTCGTCACTGAAAACAGATCAGTTGTCTTTTCATCTTTCGTAACGTTATCATTACTTGTTAATAATAAATTTCCAACATTTTGCGACATGTCACAGCCGTCTTCCTTGCCATCGTACGATGTTGATTCATGTGCAGATGCGATTGGCAATTCCGAATTTGATGTTACATAATTTTGCATATTTTTGTATTGCGCTAAATCAACATTTTCATCTAAATTTATTTCAACCATGGACGGTATATCTTTGCTAGATTCTGCACTTTTGCTACTGTTTTCTGTATCGGCAATTAATGAAGAATTCTCTATGTGGTGTTCTTTTGCCGAGACTTTGCTTTCTATATTTTCCTTCAAATTGTTAGGTATACTCCCACGTTTACATAACGATGCTACATCTTCTATGTTTTTGTCTAGTGTAACATTGTGCGTAACATCGTATTTTTCGGTGCTTGTGGAAATTACAGTGTTTTTTGCTGAGGTGAATACTTGCTTTACTTCTATTTTACTTCTTTTCTTTTCCTTATGCTCTCCTACAAAAATATCGTCATCTTCTGAGGAATCGATGTTCCTTCTAGAGTCAAAATGGCGTTTCTTCAATCGAATCGGCACAGTTGTATCTAGTGATTTAGTTCCTGACGAAGAACATTCCTGGCTAACGGATATATTCTCCTCTTTTGCAGAAATAGAAATAGATTTATTTTTCGGGACAGTCTTACTTTCGGAACAAGAAAAAATTTTCCATAAAAGATATTTTTTGTGAGCAAAATTCTGTGTTTCTTCTTTTCTTAGCGATTCGTCTTTCAACGAGGAAGAGCTAGATGCTGTTTCAATATCTGATCTTTCCGCAGAAATATCTCTGCGATCTGTTGATGTAACATCGATATGAGAATCCTTTTCTGGTTTTGGAGTAAAATCCTGTATAGTGCCGTTTGACGATTCTCTTCTGGATAAATCACATTCCTGGATTTTACTTTGACAAGTTTCACTAGCGTCCTTTGCGTCGATCGATGCTGCAGTTCCAGCTACAACACTTGGAATTTGTGTGTCGGACTGTTGAGACATATCTTGTAAATTCCCTGCTCGTCGCTTCTTTTTAGCATCATCTCTGTGTTCACTTTCCGTTTTTTCCTCGTGGAACGGAAGCAAATTTTGATTACTACTGTGCGATGATTGCAACAAGTTGTTTCTGAAACATATAACAATGTGTTATATATAATAATTATAAATGTAATTAAAAAATCTAACAATTGTCTATAAGATATTTACAACTGTGAAATTGATAATAAACTAGGTAAATAAAATAGTTAAATTAATTAGCAAAAAATATATATTTGATATATATGTATAAAAATATATATGTATATAAAATATATATTTGTTAGAGACGAATCAGGTCTGTTGCGTAATATGTGCTAATTAATACTAATTTAATTAAATAGCAATAGTATTGTTGGTGTCTCATTTACGTATACTACTTATACTTTGTTTACTCAGAATACATATAATCTTTTGTTCCTTGTACACATTGCAATAAACTTATTATTATTTATTAATATTACACACACACATTAAGTCAATAATACTAATTATTAAATAAAAAAAAAGATTCCTCTGTTTCAGAGCAGACACTTATACACATTGATTTAGAAACACATTGATCAACATTTTAGAAATTATGACTGTTGCAGTATTCACGTAGAAACGCTGATCAAGACACGCTGCACTCAATCGACGATTATACGTATTATTACAAGTCCTGGAACGAACGAAAAAAATATCGCGAAATCACCTGCTTGCAAAGAAATGCTCGGAAGCGATGCTCCGCTTTAGAGACTTAGTTCTCTTCTTTTTAATAATGTCGTCGTGTTTGGTTTCGGATGTTCCAATCAGCAATCCCGAATCGTCTACGGATTTCCCGTAAGTTTTATATTCCATGACCACGTCAAAAGGTGAGAACCATTCACGAAAATCCGGACTCCGGACCTTCTCGCGAGTATCGCATCGAAGTATATTTCGTCGTGAAACAGACGGCGGGATGTTGCGACGGAACGCGCAGTTTTGTCCTATGATAGGATACAGCACTTTCCTCGTGCGGCAATTTTTGTCAATGTATCATCGCAGGATCTGTTTTTATTCCAGTGTCGGATTTGCAAACACGACACGCGAAGACAATGATCATCGTCAAAGCAAATTAGATGTGGCTGAAAAACACAATTGCCGTGTACTATGTTATTCCACTGCTTATAGTAGTACGTCGAAGGAATCGAATATCGCTGAAACAACGAAATTTATGTATTATCGCGACAAATTTGACATTTGTTGGACTTCAAGACTAGCTAATTTTTTTAGAGGAATAAGAAAAAATGTTTTTTTTGGCTTTTTAATCTTATTCATTATATTTATTTTTGTAGTCTTTTAAATTTAATTATATCTGTGTTTTCCATCTTGTTAATTATTATTTTATTTCGTGTTTTCTTAATAATAATTCTCAATAATAATAAAGCTTATAGTCATGGTCATTATAAGTACTTCATAACTAGTACGAATATCTACCATTCTAGATAAAACTCCTAAAGATTTTTTTATATAAAAATGTACATAATTACACATAAAATATCTTTACATGTATTTTCTGTCTCTTGTATAATCTTTATTTGTATGTATAGGAAAAATAATAAAAAGAATAATTAAAAAATAGCTAAAAAAATAGCTAAAATTAAAATTGCGATTAAATTATATAATATTCTACATATAATCTACATATAATATATATATCTACATATAATATGTATAATATTTTATATACGATTATTATATTTATATATAATTATATCTGAGCATTTTTTTCTCATTTCCTCAAACTAAGGTTTTTTGTAGCAATTTTATTACGTACTTTATTTTAAATGCTAAAAGAGATGTCTGCGGATCATTTTGCGTTTTCTGCTGGAGTTTTGACAATTGCGATGCTGACTTGTTTATCACAAAAAGACTGCTCGAGAATCCTGCTCTTCGATCCCTTCGTTATAATTAGAAAATCAGAATATGTACAGATGTTGCAGCATAATTAGAAAGCACAATTTAGATTCTAGTAAAATTAAAATAAACATATGTAAACATACATTACAAAGATCACATATCGATATTACGATTTTACATTGCGATCTATCTTACATTTATTATTTTATTAAACGTCCCATATAGATACTTTCAGTTATCATAACTCAATGGCTATTCTCTGCATAATAATGAACAAATAATAATGTGCCACTAGAGAAATGTAGTGACGGGATTAAGTGTCTTGCAAGTAGATTCGAATTTATTAGCGTAGTTTTAAACTCTCTGATTACTTCGAAAAATAAAAGCAATATTTCAAGTATACAGAGTATACTCGAACCTAGGCGAAATGGGGGTTCAAATCTTTTATAAATACTTCAAAAAACAGGAGTATTACTCCAGAACTCGAACCTGAAATATGTTCAAACCTTTTATGAGTACTTTACTAGAAATTTAATATGTATAACATGTGTCATAGTAAATATGTTAATTTAGTAAATGTATACACTTACTAGTCAATATGTCAATAAACACACATATACAGCCTACAGGATGTTTCCTTAAAGACCGCCCAGTAACTACATAGCGTTATTCATTATCAAAAATTGAGTTGAAAAGTCTTGAGCCATTTTTTTCTCTAATGATTAATAAACCAGTAATTATTGAGTAGAGTCAATCCACTCAATGCCGTCTTTTAGCCGGCCGTACATCAGTGAGCCACGTGCCCGTAGTCTGCGCTCACGCATACTACTAGGCTGATAGTAAATCTATTAATGTAATGTATTAATGTAATAAATTAACATAATTTTTCTGCTATACTTATGTATTATATTATCAATATGTATGTGCATACACATTGACTAGTAAGTGTATATATTTACTTACTGAATTTAACACATTTGCTATAACATATAGGTATACACAAATATATATCTCTTTATAATAACATAACATTCAAATACTACTTGTAAAAGATTCGATTCTTTACTTTCTTTATCTTTATAGAAACTACTTATAAGTACATTTCAAATCCTGTAGGCACTTATTCTGAAATTCGAAATTGACTAATCCGGATTCGATTAGACAATTAAATGCTAAATAATTTCAATGGAAAAATATTCGGTAGAATATCTCTCATCAGTCACTAAAAATATCTTCTCGTTATTAATCGCACCAATTTCGAATATTAACTGTCGTGCAGAAAGTATTTATATATTTACTTGCTAATCCTGCGACAATTATGCGACGAAAAAGCGAACGTCTAGCCGGTACAAAGGTTTCGTCCACACTATCGGTATTTGTTTTGTAGCCTTTGAGAGCGTCGCGGTCACAGCGGGACCGACATAAACGCAAGGGAGGGGTAAAGTAACACAAAACGAAGTAAAAAAAAAAAAAAAAAAAAACAGAGAAGTAGTAAGAGTGTTCTCTCATCGCATAGAGCTAAGGACCCCTTCGAAAGCATTTCAAAAGCATCTGAAAGCACTTATTATTTTTGAAATCATGAGAGTTAAAAGTTATATCTATAATAATATCTATAATAGTATAACAAATTAAACAGTGAGAGAAAAGTGAGATATATTCTACATACGTGAAAAATATTGGAGTATTTTTTTTAGTAATGTCAAAATTTTGTTGTCATGCCAACTTTGAAAAACTATTTGTAAAAAACTGTTTTTTATGATCCCTCAGACTCATATTTCTCTCTAAATTTTAATTTAAAAACTGTAAATTGCTATGCTATAAATACTGCACTTTGAAAAAGGTATTTTACAAAATGTTATAAAATTATATAAATTATATATATTTTTGTGGCTCTTGAGTGTGACAATAAGTTATTGTGATATTTAATAAATACTAAATATATTACTACACACACTGAGTTGTGTTCTATTCATTACCGGTGACTGTACATGTATGTATTGTAACATACGAGCTACGCTACCCACGCAATGCGTTCTCTGCATGAGCATGCGTTTATATTCATTCATGTTGTCAATACTGCATTAAGCCCCTTGCACAATGCCAGACAACAAGGCAATAGAAACAGGAAATAACCAAAAAATCGTTACAATTACAATTACAACCTAAAAAATTCGAATACTATGATTGGTTGGCAACAGGCAATATTTCGCAGGCACAGAATTTCCAACGTGACGGAAACTCTGTGTCTATTGCCTGTGTCACTATGTTTATTCTGCATGATTTCTGATTTTTATTCCCTGTTCCTATTGCCTATTGCCTAGCATTGTGCAAGGGGCTTTAGGCTCGAAATTTCACAAATCTAAGCTCAGAATTGGAATCAGCGACATCGAATACACTATTTTTTAGGAAAAAATTTTTTTTATTTGACCGTGTGTTCCCCGCGCAAGCCACTTTTGTGGCTCCGAACAAATATCGACATTTTGAGCCATATGTTATTTATATAGATAAATTTATCGGAAAAAAGGACAGTATTTTAATGAAAAAATGCCAGCAGTTTAAAGGTTAACTCATATATTGATTGCAAACAATGTGACAAGCGCTTTTATACATATTTTTACCAATTGCAGCAACTTTTTGTTATGATTTGGAAAAGAAACAAAGTTAGCACATATTTCGCAGCAAAAATGATTTTCTTATTCTTACTTTATGTAATGAATATTACTTGTGCGTAATAAATAATTGATTTGAATGCTGATACATACTACGTTTACGCGAGCGTTATTTCTTTAGTAACTTACGATAATTCCTTCGCGTAAACGGAATTTTTTTTCTCGTAAACGGGATTTTGTAGTAACTTGCGATAATTTACTCCGCGTAAACGGGTGAATTATCATAAGTTATAATTACTACAGAAGTAACGCTCGCGTAAACGTAGTAACAGTTATAAATGATGTTTGAGTGAAGTATAACTAAGTATAAATATGATCTACAGTCCGCGTAGTGATATTAGAAACTTACTCGCAAGATAAGGAAACTGACAGTCGTCTAAGAACCACGTACGGTTTGATTGCTAGCTGTACCAGTCCTTTTCGTATTTTCCGCTTTGATAGTCCTAGTTTCTGTAGATTGTCCTTCAGCTGAAACAATCATCAGATATTTCAGCATAATCCAGCGCGCGTTCCAATGTACACTGCTGGTTAAATCTATGGGTACATTACTAATATAACTAAATTAATACCCCCTGTTATACAGTATATGTTATTATTATCTATATCTAAATTAAATAATTAATGCAAAATTTAAATGAGGAACGTTTCTTATAGCTAATACTAAGAAAAGATAATAAGCTGATTATAAGAAAATAAAGAAAAAATTTTGAAAGATATCTAATTTTCTATATCACCACTTCTTGCAAATACAATTATGATAAACATTAACACTTACACATATACATATACACATATACATATTATTGAATTGTATTATTAAATGCATATATATTGTATCAATGAACATATACGTACGAGAGAGAAAGATGATAGTGGTCATTAATGCCGCGCGCACCCACAAACACACATCAAACACTTATTATTGTATTTGCATAAGTGAATATATGGGTGCATCCACTAGATGCTTCAAACGCTTCAGAGCTTCATTTTGTCCTTGTTTAACATTTGATAAACAATAAGGATGAAATGTTTCCAAAAGCGTTTGGAGCACCGTGCACTCCTAAACTATAGATTTTGGTCGCTGACAGTGGAATATCGAAACGCAGCCCTGTATATGTCCTGTGTTTTCTTACCTTTACATTACACTAAGCGCCTAATATATAATTTCTACAGAATACAAGAAAAGCACCCATTACACTATACATCTCAAAATTTATCTAGAAGAACTCCATATATATTCAACCATGCATCAATAAATTTGTCATTACCATCAGATAGAATAGATTTTTGTCATTAAACTTTATATATTCTCTATTGGAGCTGAAAAAATAAACTTCACGACAGAAGCGTGCAGTGCTAGATATGCTAATAGAGATTGCAAATTATATGCAAATTGTAATGAAATCGCATTTCAACGTTTCGGAAAAGGTCGCGGAATATTTCAGTGCGCGTCTTACAGGCTTGCCGAATATCTAGCACGGCAGTAAAACCGGCAATTAAGGCTCCTCTGGTCCCTGGTGATGCTGTCTTTATTTAATGACGAAATTCTTGCATAGTATTTCCAAATAAAAAGATATTTGCACAAAATAACACTTCAGATCACTTCAGTACACTTTAAAAATACTCCCAGTTTTATCCATTTCCCCTGACAGTTAATAAATAGTCGTAAAATGAATGTAATGCAAAACCTAACCAGGTTTATGCGCAGGACAAAAGTAAAACAGACTGTTACTTTTGTCTCGACTTATATTTTTGCCACAATTAATCAAATATTCGTTGTTATTATAAAATAACTTAACCTCTAAATATGTATCAAAATACTTAAAGGAATAGTGACTTATTTATAATATATTTATAAAACAATAAATAAGGAGGTAAATCAAATTTCCAATGAAATATTGAGAAAGAAAACACGAAATTCTTACTTTGACCGTATTTTTATGGCATCGACACAATAGACACACAACTTCTCATGACAGAACTTCGAGCACTACTGAGGTGAGGGAAGGGTTCAAAAGACATTATATAACAGCGGATAGATTCGTATCATGAATACATGAATATTATTTTTTTAGCAATCGCGTTTGTTACGTTGATCCCGCGTTACTTTTGTCTCTGGTCCTCCCCTACTCTATTATTATGCAAAGTTTCAGATTTATTTGAATTTCCGAGTTGCCGAATGTCCCTTGTGAGTAACAAAAAAATGCTCTTCTTTTTATGTTAGGTATATCCCGGTTACTAGGGCTGGGTTCGAAAACTTTACTCGGGTGCACACCGCGTCATTCTATCTTTGTTTTTTACTAAAAGTTCAACAAGGACAGAACGACGCTGGTGTGCATCCGAGTGAAGTTTTCGAACGCAGCCCAGGTAGCAAAAAAACATATTTAAGCAGTATAAATGATTCTAGCTATTCTATGTAAAACGCAAATACCAAAAATTTTCTTATTTAAGGAGAACCGGTGTGCTATTGTCTATTAATTAGAACTAAACCAATATTTCACCATTTTGTCCAAAATGGCGGTCTTTTTATTAAAAATATTATAGTTTTTCCTCAAAATTTTGTTGGTATATTTTATAATTTTATATATATAAAAAAGAGGATATATATATATATATATATATATATATATATATATATATATATATAGTTCCGAATGACCACTGCTGGGCACTGCTTCCGATCAATCTATAGAGTTTTACACATAAGTTGTTTTCGATGTGAGAAATAAAGTACTCGTGGTCCCAACTTCGGCAAAATTAAAAAAATTCCCTGCGGAGGTTTAAAGTGTATGCGTAGAGGCAGTAGGTTCCGCCCCCCTCCGGAAGGCTCCACTACCGTTAAACTCAACACATAGTAGTTGCTTTCCATTTACACTCAAATGATCTGAGTCACTTAGTTATGTGAGTATTTTATACTCAGGTAAGATATGATTTTGTATTTACCTGCTTCTTTTGGTGACAAAGCTGTCGTATAATAATACAGGTCCATAGCCTCACTTTTAATGTTCGAGTATATTAGATTCATTAAAGCACATGGTCTCGATTGTGGATAAAAACTCAGTTGAATCTCACTTGCCAGCATGCAAAACGTGTATTTGATTGAGTTATGACGTCACAAGTGAGAATTATCTGAGTTTTGATGTAAATGGAAAGCAAATAGTGTGCCTATGCAAAGTACATGCGTGACCACGCATGGAAAGTTGTAAACCCATGCATCTCGTTTCATGCGGAAAGTGTATGCGTGCCATGCGTGGAGGCAGTTAGGTCCGCCCCTTGCGGGGGGCTCCACCGCCAAAAAGACTAATCTAACCCAATCCAATTGTTGTGTGGATGGAAAAGTATACATATATGCGTGAATACAATAGATTCACACTTTCCCATCCACAACAAAATTAATGAGAGATTTATTACCTTTACCAAAAAGTCTTAGTTATAATTACCGGTAAAATTGATAAATTTGCTATAATTTATCATTTTATCATTTATCACCGTATGTTGAAAATTATACATGATAACCGATAATTATATATAATTATCGAATTTATCAATTTTACAGTAACATATATATCATATAAAATCAATTTTAGTCGATAAGAGCTGTCAAAAAAATTTTTTTCTTTATTTCCCGAAGTTGATGGGACCACGCGCCACGCGCACTTTTATTCTTCACATCAAAAACAACTTATGTGTAAAATTTTACACATCGGGAGCAGGGGTCATTCGGAACTACACCCGAAAACGAATAAACGTATGTTTATGTTTATGTTTATTGTAGTTCAGACAATAGCCACACTTCTTCTGAATAAGAAAATGTTTGCGTTTCAAATACCTAAAACAGCTAGAATCATTTACATCGTCCATATACATTTTTTGCGAGCTCTTAGTGACCAGGATAGGTATAACATAAAAAAGAAGAGCGTTTTTATTACTTAGAAAATAAAAATATATTCTTAAAGTAAGGATAAAAGAACATGCAAATCGTGTTTAGCATTATTCGCTTTTTTCACTACAAAAAATTCTTGAAAAATACCTTTTTTTATGACCTTTCAAACCAGAATATCCCCTTAAGGAAGAAAACGCTCTTAGATTCTTCTCATACGTAAGAATCGTATGTAAGCAAACCGAGTCTGCTATATATTTTCCATCTTTTTTAATGGGATTTTATTAAAATGTTTCTTTCTTATTTCTGTATTACAGATTTCTGAATTAACAAATAATTTATCCTTCTCTGTATTTAAACTTTCGCCCGTCAACATTTTCTCAAAATAGTTTTGCGCTTTATACGACACATTGGACATGAATTTGCAACGTGATGTAACTTGAGATCCATCGTGCACAACGCAGCACAGATGAGATCATCCTTAACGATAACGAAATTCTTTGCATTTCTCGTCACGCTTATATGTCTCTCTTCTCCGTGAAATCTAACATCAGTTGTATACCTTCGAAATTTCACACATTACACGTAATATTAAATTCCTTATTTTTAACAATGTTTTTTTTAATAGAGGTATAATGTTCGACCCAACTGGCCAAGTTTTATTGCTCAAAACAACGCTACGTTTCGACCGTAGATTCCGGTCCTTTTCAAGCGTATGTACTCACAAATATTGATTGGTCAGACATAAGGTCCAAACTATGTCGAATCTAAAAACTAAGCAACACAGTTGAGAGCTTCGCAATAAATATAAAAGAACATAAAAAAATATTTTTAAAAAATTACATAATTATATAAACCTGAACTTACATATTTGTGCGTTGAAATTAAAACGATAGAATACTTGTTAAGGTATTCCTTTCATGACACCAAAGTCTTAAGAATTAACTAATTTTTTGGTACAAGAAAGTTAAAATGCATATCTTTACGCCAGAAAAAATTAAACCACATTACCGAACATATAAAGAAGAATTATGACTTTGAAAATTCGATATTTATATGTGACGTTATCGAAAAAGTATATTTTCCACATTTCAATGTAATAAGTTTATCAAATATCTTAAGATATTAAATATTAACTGCGCTACATATTCGCTAAACTCTATACTTTCGATAGTGCCGATAAAAATATAGAGTCACTGAATATTTAAACAAAATATTTATGTTAAAAGTTGACTTGAAATGTGGTTTATATAGATGAATATTTTTAATGGTGACTTTCAAGGAATTATTTGGCAACGTTGCAAGCTGTGCGCTCATGTCACATTTCAGTTCATCGTACGGTTTATTATCAACTATTTATTATGTTTTAAAAAAGAAAAATAATCCAAAAATATATATATCGCATAAAAAATATAAATAAAATATATAAATATAAACAAAAATATAAATATAAAAATATAAAGATAAAGATAAAGATAAAGATAAAGATAAGATGTCACAAGCAGTACACCACAGTTCAGCTGCAAGCATTTTAATTTCTACAAGTCGACGTCTATTAAAAACTGGATAATTTGCAAAATCGGACTCC